CTTTGTACAAAGCATGTATATAAGACTCTTAATAAAGGTGATCGGCAAGGCTGCCAAAGATTAAAAAAAAAAAAAAATAAAAATTTTCCAGGCAAATTTGCCTGGAATACAGTTTAAGGAATAAAATTGATCTTTGATCTGCACACTGAATATTATATACATATCGATATGTATATTCATTATAGTAAAATACTTCAATGGATCAAAACCTTGATACATTAAACAAAACATCTCAGCCTCAGAGCTTTGTTATATCAAGATTATACTGTACTTTGTAGTTAAAAGTTATGATTACATTTTGCATAACGATTTCTAGCTTATTTGAGCACTACCAAGAGAAAACCTAACATTGGACTTTCAATTATATTTTGTGCTTAGTTTGTTTTCAGAATGCCGTCTAGAAAAAATCTATCATCAGGCTTTTAATTATATAATATTTGTAAAATATAATTGATTAAACCCGACATTCTGGGACAAAGAATATAATTGAAAGCCCAATGTCAGGTTTTCTCTTGACAGCATTCACTTGAACCTAGATATAATTCATTGTACCCTCTGTCGTTATGCTTACGATCTGAGTTGTGTATTGATTTGAGCTCTTTCCCATCGTAATCAACGTACCCGGGGTTAGAGGCCTGCATTGGGTCCCGCAGCCCGGCCGGGCCACAAAAATAGGTAATTTGCAGGCCTCCACCCGGGGTGGCACGATTTTTTTAAATAGGAATCTAAACGATACTTCGAATTGCACACGTGGAGTTAGAAACTTTCGTATTCCAGATCGACAACATATTCCAATTATGGATAAAGTAACAAGTTACGACGAAGAGAGAATACATTGACTGTACCATCATTCCTAAGTTTATGTCTGTGGCCCTGCGCTAAATTGATGTCGAGTCATAAAGTCTTTTCATGTTTGTATTTATACTATCGTATTATTTTTTTCATGTTTATTGTCCGGATATCAGATTCGAATTGATTCATTTTTTCGATAATACCGAATCTAACCTCACCCTTGAAATTAAAAAAAAACTAGTCATCAATAATTCTCGCCATCAATATTATTCAAACCGTTTTCAACCGGTTCACCCGATTTCATATCATCCGGGTGACGATTTTGCATCCGGTTCGGAATCCTAGGAAAAGAATAAGGTTTTTTACAGATTGATGGTTTTCATAATATGGCGTGACGACTAAGTTACTCCATGGATACCAACATATCTGTTTTCCACGGATACCAATAAAATGTATTGATATTGTACAAAAAATTATATTTTAAATAGAATTTTTTTTATAGAGCTAGTGCATTTTTTCACCTTATTAATACTAAGTAATTGTTAAAAACCATTCTCTTGACACAATATGTATGTATTAAATATTGTGTAAATCCTATGATATATATGACAACTTGAACAGTTTCGAGTATTTTTCATTATACATTCTACCTTTTTTTTTTTGCCATCGAAAAGATGGAAATTAATCAAGAAATAAATTTCCCAAAAAATCAAATTCTATGTCCATTAACCAATGAAATGTCCATTAACCAATGAAATTAACTACAAAAAAGTGAAGAAGGATGCTGCAAAATATAAAATCGGCAAAGGCTCTGATACAAAATGAATAAATAAATAATTAGATTTAGGTAATAATAAAATCATATTCAATTATAATTGTAATTACCTCTCGGGAGATATTGTTTTGAATTCACCTGCGTTATCTGGATTAGTTTGTATCCGTAAATTAGCTACGAAAAAAAAAATCTTTTTAATTAAATCTATTATTAAACCTTTTAAGGTCATGGATGAAGTAGATCTTTGTAAAGAAAATTAAAACGAAAGACATGTAAAAAAAACTAACCTGCCAACACAAATGAGCCAACAGTAGAAATAAATCCTGCTAAAAAAGCATTGTATGGGTAGGTTCCAACAAGCACACAATGCACAAATTGGATAACACCAGAAAAGAGAATAAAAACTAAATAAGCATCAATAAGTTGAAGACTTTGTGGTGTATTCTTTGAATACGATGTCCATAATTTTTGAACAGCGTTCGAAACCTTATCTGACATTTTTTAATATCGATGTTTATTTTTTAAATATTGCAGGAAATTAAATACTGTCAAATTGCATAAGAACGACCAATAAAATTACCCCACGTTAACCAATTAAACTTGACTACGGAACTTTTCCTTAATGATATATATTTGCATGCACATCTGTTTTTAGCGTTAGCGTTAGCGGATCGATAATAAATTTGAGTAACCAGTTTTAATTATAGTATCAGAAGCAGTCAGTTTAAAGTCTTTCGCAAAAAATATGCATACACCTCCTTCGAAAGTCGAAGTATTACGTAGGTTACTGGTTCATTCTGATGGCCGTGATAAAACCTTAAAAATTATCCAATACTTTGGAAAACTTATTCTTTGGCTTCATGATCGTAAAGTCTCTAAAATTAATCCCGTTATTTATCTACTTTTTCGAGACAGAGTTTTCTTGTCAAAAGTTTCTCCTCGATTAAAAGCAATGACCTCACACTTTAGCACAACACGTAAAATAATTCGTTTAGCCCATTTCATAGAACCTTATTCAGATTTACGTGAATATTATACTGGTGCACGTAAAATCTCTCGTTCTTCAACTCCATATGAAAAAGTTGTTCATTATTTTGGAGCTATCAATGCATTAGTTGGCATAATGAATGATATATTCGATGATTTATATTGCCTTGGTAAAATTAATGTTTTAGATAAATCAGTTGCCAAATGGGCAGAGCCCATTGCGATTAAATTTTGGTTTTTCTCTATTTGTTTGGATATCCACGAAACCTTATTCAAAATTTGGCAAACGAATGAGAAAATTAAAAAGGCTAATTCAGAAGAAACAGAAAAGTATAACCAGAAGTTATATTGGTTAAATGTTAGTTTAGTTAAATTGTTTATGGACTTTTTGTTTTGTGGTATGTATTCTTTTTAAATCTTTATTGTCATTGTCTTAATTTTATCAAACAAACCAAAAATGTTAATTGGCCCATTAAAGGGTATGATTTCTTTGAATATACTTTCTCAGATGGCGTGCAAGCAGTTTCTGGACTTATGGCCGGAATTTTAAGTAAGTTTATACCTTTATTCCGGTTTGTGTGAGATTTACTGTTGCATTGAACCGGTTTTTTCTTTATTACTTTTATTCATTAGGTTTTCATAAGCTTTGGGAAAAGGAAACACAAAGAATTATGAGTTTTTCATAAATAATACTATTTATAAATGATACGCTTTATGAAATCTCGTTAACCTATTCTGATGGGAGATGTAAATTATAATAATAATTAAGTTATATAATTAGGGAACGCCTATTTCCACCATGAAAATTTGCTATTTCCACCATTGGACATAATTAATCATGACAATATGTTCGTCATGTTTATGTAACTGAAGTCGTGTGAAAAGCATGGTGGAAATAACAAATTTCCAAGGTGGAAATAGGTATTCCCTATAATTATTAGGGTTTCTCCAATATAGCGATGTAAACTTAAGCCAATTTAGATCGTTGTGAAAGTTAAAATAAATTATGTCGTAATCTATTTAATTATTAAATTTATTACAAATATCGGAAAGCAGTTTTTGCTAAAATTATTTTTGGTGTAAAAACTATATTTATCAATTAATCTTAATCTATCATTCCATCAGGATGATTCTTTTTTAAATTTTAGAATTCAATTATGTAAAGCATATTTATTTCTAGAAAGTTCATCTTTATATAACATGAATTTGAACACATTCAATTTGTAATTAATTTTACGAAATGATATTTTTGTGAGTAATTATCCAATACAACCCCTACATTATACTATTTCCATTTGATTTAAATATTCAAAAAGTTTCTACTATATCATTAAAACCAAGGTGCCTATAAAAATTTGGTAAACTAATATAAAACAAACTGTATTAAGTAGAAATATTAAATCAAATTGAATTTGATTTGATCAAAGATTTGATAAATTTAACTTAATTAAATAGTTTATTTGAAAATTCAACCTTTGATTTTGCAGAACACTTAATAAGATCTTTTTTTTTCTTTATATTATTCTTAATAATTGCATTACTGATTTTGGTTTAGTAAAATATAATTAGATATAATTTTGCATTAATTATATTATTATTAAATAATTTTTATTATTTATATATTTTGATAAAAGGTTCTTATTTTTGATAGTTGTGTTTTTTTTAGTAAAAAAAAAACTCTATTTAATTTGCATTTTCAAAAATAGCACAAATCAAAATATAAGCAAAACTCAAAACCAGATTAGAAATCATCACTAATATTATTAAAAAAAAGATTTGACATATTAAAAACAATTATTTTAATAGAACAATAATATTTAAAAACTAAGACCATTAGATTTTAATTTTAATTTTTGGAGTTTTTAATAAAAATTTTAAAAATTAGGTCTTGATCTTGAAAAAAAAATTTACAACACATAATTAATAAATAATAACAAACAATAATAAACAAAAAAATCTATTTTATTTTAAAAGAACAGACTGCAATATATATAATAACAATAAACAAATAAGTTATATATAAAATTAAATTAATAAATAAATAATTAAAATATATAAAAAAATCTAAAATAGAACTAATAAACAAAATAAAAAGTTATATAGTCAAAAGTTATTATGTTTTATTTATAAAATAGAAAATAAAAATTTGAGATATATAAATAGTTAAAAAATTAAAAATAATAATAATTTATGAATTAGACAATATATATCATCTATTAAAAGCTTATAATATTAAATTTTTTAATAAATTAAATATTATAAATATTAAAACAAAAAGAAAATAAAATATTAAATAAAATATAATTTTATTAAAAGTATTTTTTTTTATAATTTTAAATAATTATATACAAGATTTTATAATTTGGTATATATGTAATACAATTCAAATATAGATTATAATTTTTTTAGATTTATATATTAGTATAAAATAAAAGTTTTATTATATTTGAAAAATGATTTTAAAAAATATATATATATATATTTTCTTCTTTGATGATCTTGTTAAAGTTATTCTTGCATCCTATATTTTCAAACTAATGTTCTCAATGTTTTTGGTCACTAGATCTTAATTACTCAGTTTATGCTTTTAAACTTTTCAAGAGTGATCCATCACACTAACCCTTGTTAGAATTAAAAAGTTTTACTAGGCTCTGTCTAGAACTGACTGTTATTATAAGTTTATATAATATCTCTTATTGTTAAACTTTTGGTCTTATATTATATTTCATAACTTCAGTTATTCTAAATCAAACTCTAACTTGTATTTATTACCAAGTGGCTTCTCAATTACAGGTTACTTATCTTTTCTAGAAATAAGTCTGTTTGATGATATTGCAAGTTCTTAGTATTACAGTATTGCAGTTTTCTATTTTTAAAAATGCATCTCTACAATTACTATTACTAGAATTTGAACTGACAACCTTGCAATTTGTGATCTCAGAACATAACTGCTATGCTATCGACCTTAAAAGTCTATTTTTATATTTAAATTAATGATATAAAATTATTTTTTTATATACTTATTTAAAAAGTTTTATATTAATATATAAGCTAATAAAAACAGTTTGTTATAATAAAAAAACAGTATTATTAAATCAAAAAATTAAAAAAATTAAAAATTTAAATAATAAACTAAAATAAAATTAAAATAAAATTATTATCTAAAATAAGACAAACAGATAATAAAGTTTATATAAAAAATAATATAATGGTTTTAAAAATTCAAAAAAAGGTAATTAAGCAAAACATTAATATTAGCATATATATTATATAATATTATTTTTATAAAAATAAAAATAAAAAATAGTAACTTTTTTTGCAAATTATTTATACCAAATTTTTGCTAAAAACATTTAAATATTTTTAAATATTTATTAAGTTAATCTTATTTGTACTCTTAAGTAAAGTTATTTGCACACTTTTTTGCTTCTAAACAGTCAAATTTAGAGCTTCAACAATATCTGATTATTGAGAAAACTACAAAAACTAATTTTTTAGATTTTGCTTATTTTCTTAAAATTCTATTAATTAAATATACTCTGTTTACTATTAGTTATTATTGTTTTTTTTTAATGTTAAAGTCTTTATCTTTAGGATGTGACATTTTTATTCAAGTATATAAAACACAGCATGCCACCAAAGGCTACCTTATATTGAAGATTACAACTAACTATATATGCACTTTTGGTATTTAATTTAAGTAGTCTGCTTATATATTACTATATAAGTTTTACACTAGATGTTATACCTACAAGCTGACTAGAAGTCTTGCTTATTTAAATTCTCTGTATATGCAATTCTTTTTGTATCATAAAAACATCTTCAAGACTACATCTATTCAAGTTGCTAATGCTGGTTGGTACTTTTAAGACTATTTTATTTTTAATAGAAAACTTACTAGAGCTTATATGTTCTATATATACTAACTTAGTTTTATGCAATACACTATAGTTATCTAATACTTGCAATTACAGGTGTTATCTGTTTAACTGCTACATTATACTATTTCTATTCTTGTAAAGTTTACTAAAATCCTAGTACCTATCTTTCCAGCATCTTTTTTATTATCCCTTACTAACTGCAACTCAGAACTGACAGTTTCTTTTAGACTGCTAATTCAGATAGCCTAGTATGATATACTTCTGTATTCTTTTCCTCTAGCAAGTTTGGTGGTCTAGTTGGTTATATACTTCTTTACATATATTTGATATTTAGTTTTGACCTTTAGTTTCTATAAAGATGTTTTATAGGCTTTAACAGTCTGATAATATTATCAAAAGTTTATGCTACCTCTTTACTCAGAAATTTTTAAGTGGCTTTCTGTCATTTTAGTTTCTTAGTCTTCTAGGCCTAAAGTCTTATCATGAATTTGTACCAAAGTTTTATACAACACCAGTTATTCATTTCTTTATATACATATAATGTTATACTTTGTATAGATGCTCAAGCTCTTAATATTGGTAGAACCAACTTAGTGTACCTGGGTTACAGCTATATAAGGCCAACTGATTGACAGATAACAGTTACTGTTATATAGATATAATTTCAAATTTTATCATAGGTGGGATTTGAATTTTAGATCTGCTACTTGAAAAATGACAACCCAACTATTAAATTAAGATCACTATTCTCATTAGTTATTTCTTAAGATTATTAAGATAAATATTTTGATATATTTTATTCTAAAAAAACAAAAACTTATCAAGTTATTAACAAAAAGGCAAAATCTAAAACCTGTTTTTACAGGTTTTTTCAAATCTAATTTTAGAAAAATTTGCAAAAGTTGTCTAAAAATTTTTTTTTCTAATACTTATTAAAATTTTTTAATTAACAATAACCTTTTATTATAATTTTACACTTTTAAAATTTTTTTTAAACAAGTTAGAAATCACAAAATAAAAAAATTTTTCTATAAAACCTAGTTCTAGCAATTTTTAGTATATTTAAACTTAGACATTATTATAGGTTATACAAAGTTATACAAGCTAAAATAACTATAGCAACTCTAGTAATATATTTAAAAAATATATATTATTCTTGTAATATTATTATTTCTAATTTATTTTAAAAAGAAAACAAACTTAGTTGTTAAGTTATCTTAGCTAGATTATAATATACCTACTCTTATAACTTTTAAACCAAACTCTATTGATCTTAATTACTTTTATAAAAACTTTTAAAAAGTTTTAATATTGAAGTTTATAAAAAAACTCCATTAATCTCTTGTCTAATTCTTACTAACAAGCAACTAAACAATTGCTTTAATATAAACTTAAAGGCAATACTAAATGCTGTTACTATATTAAAGCTTTTGCAACTAGCAATATTGTTATTTATATTTGTTAAGTTTTATACTAACTTCTTTTTATAAAAAATCAAATATATAAACAAATTGAATTTGGACAACTTATTAAAAAATCAAAGAACAATAAACAAATTATAACAAATATCTTTAACTTTGCTAAATTTATTTTATTATCTCATTAGTCAAAAATTTTTAATATAAAAGGCTAATATAAAGAAGATAGTTAGATAAAATATCAGAAAACAAATATTTGAATATTGTATAAAAGAAAATATAATAATTAATAAAATCAACAAACTATTAACTTTAAATTATAAAATAATATAATAATATTATACTATAATTTAAAATTTAAACTAAAAATAAAAATGATATAAGATA